CTTTAAAAAAGATTAAAAAAGACAGAACCATGAAGCAGCATTAAACTGGCATTAATCAGATACAAAATGGGAGATAGAAATGGAAGAATGGCAAGTATTTCCCATTTGTAAGAATGGAGAGATCTCAGAACACTACAAGAAAATATGAGCCAAGTGAGAGGACATTTTGGTAATTGATACTGCTACAAAAGCCACTGAGTACACATTCCCATCTCGATCAGCTTGTGAACACTTCAGAAGGAATAAAACTCCTCTCTCTCAACCCATACATATGGTCAAGCACTTTCAGAAGCATTTTATCTAGCTCAACAAACCAGTGATGTTTGAAAACAAAGACTGAAGCTATGCATTGGTATAATTTTTCTTATTTATTCCATAAATCAAATATTCAAAAAAAACTTTCCCCAAAGGCTACATAATCAGCAGGTTACAGGGGCAGCTGCACAGTCTTGTAAAATATAATAAGCCATGCACATTGTTATAGCAGAAAATTCTAATAGGTAACAGTTTCTAACACCAGTTTGTAATTCCATAAAATGCAATTACACCACAGGCATTAATGGTTTTAGTTGAACCAATTATGCTATAAGAAGTAAAAGACTAAAAATACATACTAAATTATACAAAGTCTTTAGTCTAAATAACACTTAAACAAAATACTTGTGGGCAAACATATCACAGATGGTCAAACAATGTAGCTCAGTGATACTCTACACAAGCACTATGACTTGGGAATTTTTTTTGTTTGCTTTTTAAGCAAATTCTTATTTAGAGATCTGAATAATTTATATTTGGGTTAAGGCTGAGCAGTTCACTATAGAGACACTGTTTTCCCTTCATCCCAAAGAAGATACTCCTTCCTTGACTCAGGATCAAATTCAGGCATTCATCAAAAGTGAAAAAATTACAATTTTCTGTTTTCTCCATGAACACCATTTGCAACATGCCCAGGCATGACAAAGTATTGAAAAGGGAATGTGACCAGAAGTCTTTCTTCCTCCTAGTCACTCATTTAATTATGTCAGTCCATCCTCCATGCTTATGGCATTACTAGGTCCTACTATCACATTTTAGGCATTACTTCTTTAGAGAAACCCTTTGTTCCTATCAAAGCACTCATTCAGCATTTCTCGAGGCTTTATGCAAGGGAGGGAAAACAGTCAGTTGTCTAAAACACAAAGTTACACTTGACAGGAGGTTAAAGGAGACAGTCCTTGAAAGCAAGAGGAAAATTTTCAGAACTTGATGCAACATCACAATTCATTTCATCATGGATCTGGCAATTCTCAAGGTGAATCAGGATAATCGTATTACACTGCAGAATCCAGTCTGATGTGACTAAAGCCTGTCTGGCCTTCAGCAAACCACTCCCTCTGACAGAAACAAAACCAAAAAGAATGCACAAAGATCTCAGTAGTAGCTACGCTGCTGTGGTGACCATCCTGTGGGTGAAGGAGCACAGCACAGGGCAGGAGAGGCAGATGTGAACCCCAGCAAGAGAGGCCTGCACTTGCTCAAGGCATAGATGAACAGGAACACACTACAGCCTCTGCAGAAGACAGCTTTTTGTCCCTGGACTGCCTTCTCCTACCTATAGCACAGGTAGGGCCTGAGAGATGGGTTTCCTCAGAACAGATGTACAAAAGCTAACTCGAGGAGGCATGGGCTGCCCATATCCACTCACAGTTTTAAGCTAGCTAGAGGTACAGGTAGCTGTGAGTGCCTGAAGAAAACAATGAGCCAGGCTGCACTCCAAGGGGAACCGGGAAAACAGACCAGAAGCAACAACACTGTATCAAGTTATGTTTTAATACTGTTATGTTACAGTATTAAAAAAGAAATTTACACAATTTGGGTAGCCAAACACAGAGAGAAGCTGCCCAAGGAGGCTGAGAAAACACATTCTCAGAGACCCAACCCAACAAGGTCCTGAGCAGCCCAATCCAACAGCAGAAATGGTGTGGGAATAACCAAGTCAGCTGTGCAGCCTCTCACAGCCATGGATACACAGCTACAAAGTTCTTTACTAACAATCACCTGGCCGTGCTAATACAGTGCCACAGGTAAGAGAGCAGACAGACCCAAGCCCAAAGGGCAAATCAGCACCTTGCTGATGTCACTGCCTATTTTTTTATTTCCCATCACTTCTGCAAAAAAACTTTTACTGAGCAAGATAAAGGGAGGACTGTTTCACATCTTACTGCACAAGGTAAAATATAAGTATGTCCACCAAAAAAAGTTTAAAAGCTTTGTTTCTCAAGCATCCTTAATTCTCTTCAAAAGCCCCAATTTTTATTTCTTTAGGCAATACACAGTATGTAAACTATAAGCTGTTAAATTTCCATAACTCCATGATGAATTGGTTTAATATTAAATATGGTCAATATCATTACAAACTCTAATAGGCTCAGACAGGAAATGAGTCCATGTATATTGTAATTGATAAGTCTCTTTCACTTGTATTTTTTCCCAAAGCTTCCTAAGCCAAGCAAGTAAGATACTTCTAGTGCAACAGGGTGCCAGGGACCAAATCTGCCTCCCATCCCCTTTATCAGGAAAAACTCAACCATCTGAACTGAGAGACTGCATGTACTTCTGTTGTCTAAACTATTCAAGTGGGAAAAAAAAAAAAGTTAGTGGGCAGGGGTATCCACAGCAAAGGTAGAGAAAGTCAGACAACAGTGAAAGAAGGAATAATGAACAGATTGTCACCGGCTCAGCAGTTGAGTAGCATCATTTCTACTCAGTTTTCCTACTCTACCAAACTAAATGAATTGCTAATATAGTCCTTCTGTCCTACCTATGATGAGGCCATGGCGAGCAGCTGACAAACAACCAACTCTTAACACAGAGATTTGCTTAACAGCACATACTCCTGGCAGCTTCATCACACACGTTATTTAACGAGTCCCCTACCACAGTCATGGGTCCTACAACCACCAGTTAAATGCATCAGGACCCTTCAGCCTGGAACAAAGATCACATAGTCCCACACTGCTAAGGATTTCTGACACAGCACACACAGTTGCACAGGGCTGTTCACCACCTCCCCCAGGAAAGGAACTGGACATAAAGTAAGCAAATCCCATATACTGCTGGCCCCAAAGAACTGGTTCTTCACACAAACAGCAAGTAGGCTGCAAAACTCCTTTCTCCTGGGCACTCTTGCCCCAAAGCCATTACAGACTGAATCACAATTCAAAGAACCGACAATGAGCATTGCATGCAGACACTAACAGGCTTTTCCCTGTACTTACAACTTCCCCTCCCTGTCACTCTCCACCATCCACAGGATGTGCTGCTTCTTTGGGCTTAGAATAAGTCATCCCGTTCATCACAGATTGCCATAAAAGTTTTGCTTTATTATTCTAAGTTAATTTACAGGATCCATGCTTTCACAATAATTCTATGGCAAGTGACCAACTGGAGGCTCAGGAACCAGAAAGTGACAAGATAGAGAAAGGACCATCTGAAGCTCTATGCTACAGATGCACAAACCTGAGAAGGACAGAAAAGTTTTGCAAACTCAATGTACTCAGCACAGTCATACTATCGTCAGAAATATAAACATCACTATCCACAATATGAGTGTTTTGATGGCAGGCACATTCGGGGAGCCCAAATGTTTTCACGAATACTTTTATTAAGAGCCAGATCTGCCCATTTATTAATTCCTACACCCTGGCTTCCCACTGAAAAAATTAGGTGTTTTACAGCACTACATGTATAGCCAGGAGCTTGTCAGGAACCACTGTATAAAGCTCTCAGTTGTTCAGTCATTAAGAGATTAGTTTGAGAAAATGCTCTGCAAGTCAGCCTAATAGTTTACTCAATCCTTAATCCTATTTTACAAGATCTAGACTTACCACTATTCAATACCAGAACCCAACAGGACACCTGCAATGTTAAAGCATGTAGAACATGGGAACAAGAAAAAAAAAAAAAAAGGCAAAGACTGAAAAATTAAAAAAAAAAATTATATTCCTTCTTACATACCTCACACAAGAGACTTTTCCAGACTTCTGGGACACAGGGTTTTGGTCAGTACTACAATTATTTTGATTGCCAGAGGAGCACTAGAGAAACACAACATAAATGCGCAACATAAAAGCTCCCAATGACTGTGTTCAATCAGCGGGTGAGGTTTCAGCAGCTTTTCCAGGCCAGCAGCCTGGCTCTGCAGGATGCAGGCCTCCTCTTGCCCAGGCTGCTACTAGCAAGCTCTCACCCAGGCCCTGAACAGAGGGTCAGTGACAGAGTTCCCAGCGAGAGGCACAAAAAAAGGGATGCTCAGACCAGCAACCTGGCACCAACCTATTGCACACTCTGCTACTTCATGCATTGCAGGTCTGCCGAACAGCTGAGCTGGCGGTTCAGGGACATCTCAAAACATGTGCCTGCAGGAAAATTTTCTGGAAAGACGAGATTCAGGAGCAGTTTATTTCCAGATTATTGCAGCTAAACTCTTTTGTTAGTGATAGTAGCTCAGTGCAACACCCCCACATCCTGACACCATCCAGCTCTGAGATCCCCAACCCAAGAGGGGCACTGACCTTTTGGAACAAGTCCAGAGGAGGCCACCAAGCTGATGAAGCATTTCTCCCATGAGGAAAGGCTGAGAGAACTGGGATTGTGCAGCCAGTGCAAGAAAAGGCTTAGGGGTGACCTAATGGCAGCTTTAGAGTACCTGAAGGGAGCTTACAGGAAAGATGAGGCTAGACTACTCACAGGTAGTGACAGGTCAAGAGGAAACAGGTTCATGCTAGGAGAAGGTTCAGATTAGATATAAATAAAAACTTTTTTATTATTGTAAGGGTGGTGAGGAACTGGAACACGCTAGCCAGTGAAGTTGTGGTTGTCCCATCCCTGGAAGAGTTCAGAGCAACCTGAACAAGTGGCAGGTGTCCCTGCCCACGGCAGACGATCTTTAAGGTCCCTTCCAACCCCAACCCTTCTGTGATTCCGTGAAGCTGTCCCGGCCGCGCCCCACGGCCCGGCTGCCCGGGTGCCGCCCCCGCCGCTCTCGGTAGGTCCGGCGGGCGCAGCGCTGCCGCCCGCGGCGAGCCGGCTCCGCACGGGCGAGGCCTCCCCGCACCGCCCCGGCCCGCCAGGCCTCGCCGAGCCCCGGCTCCGCCCGCGGCGGCGGCGCCTCCGCCGGAAGGGAAGCGGAGCCGCCCCGGCCGAGGGGAGGGGACACGGCCCGGCCCGGCCGCCCCGCGGTACCTGCGCTGAAAGTCCGTCCGGAAGGGCGCCAGGTAAGGGTCCCGCTCCAGCAGCTGCTTCAGCCTCGGCGGCTCCGTGCTGGCGGCGGCCATGTCGCCGCCGCGGGCTCCGCGTGATCCGCGGCGCCGCTAAATACAGCCGGGGAGGGGGCCGGGTGCCCCGGCCTCTCCCCGCCCACCGCCCGGGGCCGCCTCCGCCGCCTCTCCCCGCCCGCGCTGCGGCGGGCCCGGGGCTCTGCTGCTGCCGGAGGGATGCCGGGGGTGCCCGGCCCGGCCCGGGGCTCTGCTGCTGCCGGAGGGATGCCAGGGGTGCCCGGCCCGGCCCGGCCCGGGGCTCCGCTGCTGCCGGAGTGATGCCAGGGGTGCCCGGCCCGGCTCCCCTCGGCGATGGGCTCGGTCCGGCAGCTCCGGCTTGCTGCCGCGGGCGGTGTGCGAGAAGCGCCGGTCTCCGAACGGCGTGCGGTGACAGCAGAGTAAATAAAAAAAATTTGTCGCCAATTAAAAAAAATAAAACAAAATATTTGCGGTAGCCGAGCCGCCCGGCAGGATGGGGATGTCTGCCTGCCGTGGCTCGGCAGTCCCGCGGTTTGTTTTCTTAGTGGCTCTTTGATGTCCTTTTTCAGCGTGTCAGCTGCCGGGTGAACTCTGTGTTCCCACACACATAAAGCCCACCGCACACCCCAGCCAAAATCAACACCCCCCCCAAAGCAGATTTGGCATCATCATGAGTGCTGGAATAAATTTCTGGACTGTTTGATAGGGTGCTGATGTGCTCATAGACAGCTCAGCAAAACAAGACTGGGGATACTTATAAATACTGCAAAATGTTGCTTTATCAGACACATAAACTCCAAACGTGGTAAGATCGGTTCAACTGATCCTAGTGCAGCTCGAAATGCTGAATAGCACAGGTAGATTGCTGTGGAAGTTTTTGACCTAATAGCAACATGTCTTGTTTTTGGATAGGCCACCAAATATCCAAGGCAACTAATCACCAGCCTGACCATGCCTCTAGGCCAGCATTGAGCACTTTTATTTAAGGTCCAGCAAGTTTGCTTTGTTTTGATATGTAGTGAGAAAGTTTATTTAGAGGTCTCTTTTGAATGCTTTCAGACATAGTTTAGAAACTTTTCAGCCTCTAGATACTTTAACTCGTTCCCACAGCCATCTCCAAAATTGTTGTCCTCAGTTTGAGACTCATCCCCCTGTCTTGGTTTCCTCTGGATTTTAGTGCTGTTTCTCCTTCCTGTCTGCCAAATGACTTAACAGCATCGTGTCTGATGAACACTAACAGTTCATTTATTACTTCTCCCAAAACTGGCTACAGTGAAAGTTTCTATAATGATTTGTTTCATCAACAATGCATGTACACTTAACTACACTTTATTTCCTTCCTTGTAGCAGTTTCTAACTACACAGGCAAAAGTTCAGGTGCCTTTGTTCTTTTTCTCCTTATGGAGTGCAACAAATATTCTGTCCTAAGACTGTGGGGCAGTAGTCATACTGTTTGCTGGAGCAGTTGCCCTAACAGGAAGCCCAAGGAGTTTTGGTTTGAGTTATTGAAAGAAGCAGCATCTATGCGGTAGCAGAACTGCTCATCATATCCTGCTCTGAAAGATCTTTTTTTTTTTTTTCACAATGGCCACAATTTCTTCAGTCACTGGAGACTGAAAAACTGTTTTTAAAATTACCCAGGATTCTCAAAGCTTGCTGTGTGGCAGTGATTTCAGTGCCTCTGCTAAAACAACGTTTAACAACTCTTATCATCTTTTTGCTTCTTTCCTCATACTGTGTGCATCGTATTGTTCTGCAAATTCTCCTCAAATTCTCACACTCAAATAGCTCGGCCAACTAAAAGGAGAAGAGAAATTCCAGCTTATTATCAAGAGTCAGGAAATTGTGTTTTTTACAATAGCTGCATGTTACATGTGCTGCTACTTTGGGGCTTCCAGGTGTTTGGTACTGGAGAGGGCACTTCGCTGCTGGTTGAAGTGGAGGTGGAAAAGCAATTCTGCAGCCTCTAAATGCATGAGCATTGGAAACGGGAGCTTCAGTCTTAGCACAGTTTCTTTGGTTTTATTCATTGTCAGGAAGCCCAAGCAAATTCCCAGCATTGTTACTAGCCTTTCATCATAAACACAAGAGAGACATCTATAAATGAGCATTAGCAATTTGTGTAGGAATGTAGCTGTGACTTGCACCTCCCTGGAGGCAGGGACCCCTTCGTAACATTAATTTTAAGTAGAAAGGACACAGCATGCAGCCTCATATATAAGCAAACTTGAATTTCAGGAAGTTAAATTCTGCAGATAGCCCCTGTCCTTATAACAGAGCCCTAGTGATATATTTAACACTCTGTGAACCAGAATGTGGATAAGCATACCATTTGTATCTACTCATGTTTCATTTTACAACTTGGGCATGATTTTATCTGCCTGCTTTGTCACAAGTAATTGCAAGATACTGAAGCATATGTTATTTTGATCACTGATTACACCATGATCCTGGTGTTCCTACCATGAGCCGAGGTTGGCTCTCAGGACAGTACCATTTAATCCTCTACCTGGAGGCAAAACCAGCAGTTCAGACAATGAATATTGTCCAAACAGCTGATGTGTCTTTGTGCATTTGTCAGGGATGGATACAAAGCTGCCAGCTGCTGCTGCCAGTAGAAACAGAAAGAGGAGGACTGTTGGGAATAATTGCTCTTTTATGGGGACAGCAGTGGATCATATAAGAATGGTGTCTAAGGCGTGTGTCTGGCACCCAGTTACCAGTGAGGCTGGAGTATATCAATTACTCCAAAGTAGTCTTTCAAAGAATGTTCATGCTTAAGTTATGTATACTTTAAAATTTTGCAGAGTGGTGCTGAGCAGTAAGTGCATAGTTAAATTTATAAAATCGATTTAGATGTTTTTTTAATATGCAAAGTTCAAAATTAAACCTAAATTTTGAAGAGAAACATGTCTACTCCTGTCATGCAGCACCTCCATTTTGATTCGCTAATATATTGTGCTTGCTTTGTAAAACATGCCAGAGATGATAAATTGTAGTAACTAAGTCAGGAAAAAAAATCTTTCTTCAAAAAGGCACTGGTTCAGATTTTCCCTTATCAATAGTTTCTTTTTATATTACAGCCAGAGTGGATCTGTGAGGTCTCTGACCTTGACTGGCTCTTACAGAGCAAATTCTGGAGCTCCAGGTTCTTCTAAGTCAAGTGGCTTAGAGCTGTCCTGGCCCTGGTCCTGGCCTGGCTCTGTAAGATGCTTCCAGGCCTGCCTGAATTGTCTCTGGGGTACAGGCTTCTGCTCTGCATCTAACATAGAGACTGACCCAATCCCACAGTTTAACCTGTCTGAGAAGAGATGGCAGGTACCAAAGCCAGCAGGATATTTTTTAACTCTGTATTGAGGACATTGGAGAGTTGTTGATCTCTCAAAGTGAAAAGTCACAAGGCATGTCCTTTGTATGGTTCAGTTCAATACTTAAAGGCTATGTAAAGACTTGTTATCATTTTAGGCTGGGCAGAACTCCTTCCAACTCCTTTTCCTGAAAGTCTTTTTACATCTAGGTATGGTTGGCCTACTGTGTTTGCTTGCATGTGGGGAGATGTGTTTTTTATTGCCATTGCACTTACCCATGACTTGTAGATGTGAGGTGGTCTATGAGCAAGAACTGACAACCTGTGGCTTGTGCCTGTACTGGATCTCATAATGCAAACTTATCAAGAAAAGGTGTCCTGTGGGCAGAAACAGCTGTTCAAAAAGCTTTGCACTTCAGTATTCCAGAATAATGGATTCTTGAAGGCTCCCCTATCCTTTAAAAACATTTCAGATATCTGAGCATGTTATGGGTACCAACCCATTGCAACCTCCCACTTTTGGACTGGTTTCTTCACATTCAGTGCCTGACGCAAAGTGGAGTTCTAAATTTGAAGGAAAATTAGCTTATTTTGCCACATTGACCAGCCAAGCTTCCCCATGTTACTTGTTCAAGGATCTGTAAGGAATTTATGGCACAGTTGTCATCCAGATCCAAAGCAAATGAGCCCTTAAAAAAGAATTATCTTTTATCTCAGTAGTCTTCCCAGAGAGGTCAAACACTGGGCATGGAGCTGTAGCTCACTGCAGGGTGGTTGTTGTAGGTGACCTTTAAAGGTCCCTTACAACACAAGCTATTCTATGATCCCATGACACGTATCCCTATCTTTGGGTTCACCAAGGTGAGACACATAGGAGAAAGGAAATGGTCAGTGTTGCACAGCTGCTGCCAAACAACACATCACTGTTCCATAATTAGAACTGTGCTACAGCAAGGAGTCAACTGTTTGATCACATATGAAGAACAAAGCATATATCCTTGAAAATTGCAGCAAACAAGTAAATTGAAACAAGTAGCTGTTGGTATGTCTATTAATTTAGAGGTTTCAGAATTTTAAGTTTGAGGGTTATTAGAAATGTAGGGTATTGATACTGTCTTTTAAGGTATCACCTTTGACCTGTCATGGTTTCAGGAGCTTTACATAACAACACAGCTTCAAAGATCAAAACAAATTCACAAGCTGAAACACTAACAAGCCAGTTTCAGTGTTGTAAGATTCCAGTAAGCACAGTTGATGAGAATGCCATTTTCACTTGCCATTCAAAGCAAAATAAAAACACATTCCAACAACCTGAAAGTCCTAAATAATGACAGCTTCTTATTTTCACAATATTGCAGTGTGATTATGCTTTGGTGTCCTTATTTTGTATAATTGATTATAAAAAAATGTAAATATATTTCTAAGTTGTTTACACATTAATCAAGACACTTCAAAGTGTGATACCAATTTTAAAACATCCAGATGTAGAACAGATGTAGAACAATATTTGTTGTGCAAATGTCTATGAGTCTTGCTAAAAATCAAGTAAGAATTTGTAGAACAGTTCACAGAAACAAAACACAAATAAAACCTTCAGGAATTTCATAATATTTTTGGATGTTGTAGATACTCTGTCTGTTGTATGCCTTCTATATTTCTCAAAAGTAATTACTGCCAATAGTAACAACTTTCTACAACTTACTGCAATTTCCTGGTGTTTGCATATGTGTTTATGCATATGAAGAAGAAAGAGGAAGAACATAAAACATTCTGAACTCTCTCCTTAATGCCATACCACAGTACTTTGTAGCTGTCACCTCTGTTTTACCAACGTGTGTTTATCTCTTTATGACACTTAGAAAATAAGTAGCTTGAGCTCTCTGGTATAGTTGCTCCAGAGGAACATTCTTGCTGTTGTTGCAGCAGCTCCTGTAGCAATATATTACTATTAAACAAGCAACTTATTAATGCTTGCCAAATACTGTATTGGTTATATCCAATACACTTAGAAGAATGAACCCCCATAGCATCAGCACCAATTTTGCTTTCTTGCTGTTCATTGTCAGGTCTTTCCTAAAACCCCTGAGGAATGATCTTACCTTGGGTGTTTCTTGGTTGCATAGTCCTGAAACACTACAAGCATTTAGGCTGCCTGGCCTTTTACTCAGAAAAGAAAGTGAGGTTGCCAGATAATCGTTCAGAGGGTAACACATCTAATCCTTTAGGAGGTCAGGTGAGGTGGGAAGAGAGGAGATGCATACTGCCAATGCTCTGACAGCTCTGTCAATATAAATCCATTGGTATGTATAGAAGTATTTTAGTTTTCAAAAAGCAGAATAGTACCTCAGTTGTATTAATGAATTCAAGTCTCTCCTGAGTTCACTGAAGGAAAAGCAGATGGATCTGGTGCAAGCTGTGTGTGAAATGCAGAACTTTTGGAAGTCCAAAATGCTTTCCACAGACAGCCTTTTAGATCTTGTCAGCATTAGTTCTGGTTTACTTTTTAATGGCAGTTGGTGACATTTGACCCAGTTGGTGCGACCAACAGTGTGTTGAGTGAAGAGAAAATAGGGCAGGGACCAGATCCTTAGTGCCAGACTCAAAATTTTGCTGTAGTTAGATGAAAACACCAAATATGGAGCTAAGAACTTCTTGTTAGTCCAATGAATATTTTAACACTATCATTTTTCAAAATATTGGATAAATTTGGAAGAAAACAAAACCCAACACCCTCATTAATAATGCATCTACATATCCATATATGCAATGCATACTTGTTATACAGAAAATGCTTTAGCCCACAGAAGGGTCTGAGAGTATAATTATGTATTTGTCTTAGAATAACCACAGTACAATAATTGAAGTTTCAGCCTTCACAGTCCCAGTGATACAGAGCTACACTTACAGGTGTGTAATCCATTGCCATAGATGATTGTACTATATGCAATACAATTTTCTATTGGAAATTTTGTATGACTTGGTGATTCACCTTTTCTTTTTAAAACAAAGACTCTACATTTTAAAACTCTACATTTCTACAAATATAGAAATCTTCATCCGAGACAAATATATATAATTTTTGAGAACATCAATATTCATGGATTATGAAGAACTAATCTGTCTTCACATCGTTTTTTTTTTTCCCTTGCTTAGAGATAAATCCTTTAGATTGGATCCTTTTTCTCTTATTAGAAAGGTTTATATCATGCTCATTTTTAAAATCAGCCATGGAATTTCAGTTAAAAGAAAAGTGGTATGACTTTCACTTTTTATATATGTATGCAGCTTAACAAAATTATACAGTAAAGAAAACAAAGTGATACATGGCTTCCAGTATGAATAGATTTGGAAGGGATTGCTTAAACTGTGTTACTTGTGGGAAATAAAAGGACCAAATATAATTAATAGTTATCTTAGTTACTTACCCAGGCACCCAGCACCTCCTTCAGTATGAGTTTCTGAGGATATACAGGATTATTAGCTGCATTTCTGTTTCCTGAATACTTTATGTTGAAGTACATACTAATAAAACAACTACTTCATTGCTACTTAGTATGAAAATTTACTTTCATTTATTAGATAACTTTTTTAGATAACATTTTTTTTCAACAAGCAGCTAAATATTTATATTTTAATCCAAATAGCAATCCTCACTGGGAATATATTATTTACAGTCATGTATTATATTGGTAAATGTTGGTTTTCCAAGTTAATGCAGTCCCAGTTCCATTAGAATAGTTGAAGTGCTGATGGCTCTCAGTCAGTTTTCCTCAGTTTCAAACACCCTTCCTTTCTGATAATCTCTGAGCCTTCTGTTTGTCTCTCAAAATTCTCTCTGGATGTTGTATTCCATTACCTAATCCTACTCAAACGAGGGTTAATATTGATGCCCAATCTCATTTTAGTTTAAGCAGCCACCAGGTACGGATTTCCTCATGTTTGTACCATCAGCCCCTGCAACAGGGCATCATCACACACCAGCAGTCACCCTGCTCACAGCAGTTCTGATTTCTCCTACCTGAATTTGCAGCTTCTTTGTTTCTTTCTGCATTGTATTATCTTCTCAGGCAGCATCCAGGCTCTTTGTTTTCCGTTTGTCCGATAGTTCCACCAGGAAGACGGGCCATCCCCAGCTGGGGATGTTCACCTTGCTGTGTGTAAAGGTGGGACATAAGTAATTAGTTGACTTTTTCTTTATGCCAGTCTTCAGTGATCTGCTAGTTCTAGGATCACTTCCCCAGTTTTCTTATGTTGTTTCCATGCGTGTTTGTTTTAGGTCTGACTATTTCATTACTATGCTATTTTCTACCATTGCATATGTGCATGGACTACTTTTCTGCCTCTTTTCACTTTGTCATCCGCCTTTTGCCACTTTTACTAGAGAGTGAATGCTGACAAAAAAAGAGCAGTTTTTATAACATCTGAGTCATGCACTCCGATGGACTTTTTGTTTGTTATTCTTGCTTGCTATTATTTAGTGTTTCCCTAGATCACTTCTTCCCTCATATAGGTTGCCATCTCTTTCTGTACAGTTCCAGTGTGTACAGGCCCTTAAGCTAAATACATTTCTGTGTCCAGGACATCCACTACAGGTCTTTAAATACACCTTGGTCATAATTCAAGGTGTGCCTGTCTCTACCACTTAAACTTCAGAGACTGACAGCTTTTTCTGGTTCTAATATGTCTCTGCTTTCTTTTGGCTTGTGATCCATCCCCAGATGATACAATCTTTCAAATTCTCTGTCTCTTTTTCAGGCTCCCACCGAGTTACACATCCACTCACAGCAGGCAGTTGCTACTGCAGGAACAGCTGGATTTCAACAACCTGCATCTCCAAGGCTTAGTCCCTGCTGAATGTGCCATTCCCTCAGCCCAGCCTTTCTTCTACAAAAGGAGAGGAAGACAGGTATTTCTAGGAGCAGAGTGGACACGTGTAGTAAGAGGTTGGATTTGGTTTTCTCCTTCCTTGATTCCCCTATCAGTGTACGTGATTTTGTCCTTCACAGGTAAAGCCGTAATAAAAACAGTCTGTGCTCAGCTGGGTCATGACAAAGGGACAGAGACAGAGATCACTGATCACACAGGATTATGATCAGAGGCCTTTAAAGCAAGTATAAGCAGACTTGGTGCTTCCATTCAGTATCCACCTATCCTCAGCTTGCTCTGACTGCCATCTGTTTTCTACTCTTTCTCTCAGATTTTCAACAAAGCTTCCCTGTCCCTCATAAAACCTGCCACTTACCACGGTAAAGTTTGGCTGGAGTGAGTCACAGCCAGGTCATAAATTGATGTAACTACTGTTTCTCTGCTTTCCTTGGATTGTTAGTGATCCTGAAGCACCTGGGTTGCCCAAAATTATTTTATTTTATATTAAATGAGATAATTGCCAGAAAACAGGACTGCAAACCTGTTGCATATGTTCCCAGTCTTCTATGATGGCTGTAGGCTTCCTCCTACAAAAGTTTTTTCAGAGGCTTTGTTGTTCAGCAACTCAACTACAAGGATTCACAGACAGGCATGCCCATGTTTTCCACTGGTTTGTTGCACTGAAAATCGTCTTTACTACACCATATACATACTGCTAATATTTACTGTTATCCCAGTAAATATTCTAACATTATAATTTATCTGATTAATGCAGAAAAGCCTCATTTATCTGATGTTCTGGTCACCTTTCCAGAGTGCCTCTCAGTCCTGAGCTTGCCAGTCTTACTGATGGAGACAAGAAATGGGACCTGCTTTGTAAGTCATTAACCCCTGAGACCTTCACAAGACGAACAGTGATATTTATGTTGGGGGATTCAAATTCCTCAGCTTTGCATAAGTTTGCTCTTATTTTTAAACCTTGCAACATCTGCTTCCCTCTTACCTATTCCCAGCTAGTTTGATATTGCACAATATATTTACTCCTGGGCTCTCAGATTTCTACCATCCTCTGCAATTTTATTCCTCTATCACTCAACCATTTACTTTACTAAAATCAGTAGTTTCAGCAATATAAAACTGTAATTCCTTAGTGGAGAATCCAGGAGACAGGTTAGAGACAGGTTGATTTTTCAAAATCACAGCAGTTTTGCTGATGTGCACAGTCAGCAGAGCTCTATAAAAATGGAGGTCATTGCATTGTTAAGTTCAGATTTGTCATTGAGCTTCTCAGGAAAAGCATCTATAAATGGAAGACATCATGAATGTTCATACTGTTCAAAGGCCTGTTTTACCTCCTATCAGCAATTCAGTAATTTTTCAATATAAAATATAAAAAATCTTAAGCCAAATATCTCTTCCAATTTATTCTGCTTTTGTAGTATTTACCAAATTTATGTTAAAATCCCAACAGCTCTTGAAAAACCTTATATCTATGGCTTTTGGGGCCATGAGTAAATCATCTTATTGTGCACTAGTCTTACATTAGCCAACTGTTGATAAATATGCTGTAGAAATACTTAAGTATTCAAAATGCTACGTCCTGGTAAAAAAATATTCCAGTTCTTTTTCTCAAAGAATTTGAGATATGAGTAATTGTGGTGGGATAAATGAGAACACATGGACCTGTAGTTATTCTGAGTCTCTGGAACCCATCCACCATTTGCTTTGTGATATCACAGAAACACATAACACAGTGTTCCAGGCAAAATTATCATTACAGATAATATATTTGTATTTTTACAGAAAATTATATTTGTATTTTGTTATAGATATATATTTTTGCTTTAATAACAACCTTCTATAGATTTAACATTTTTTTTAATTGGTGATACAATTCACTGCCTTTTGTCAGTCAGGCTGATAGTAGTGAAGTAGTAGCCATAATAGTACTCTCTGTTAAGAATAGTAGACTATAAAGTAGGAATATTTTCAAAAGTGTTTCATGCTTTACACTCATTAAAGCTTAGTCTCATAAACCACACTGAGTCCTCTCCTGACATGTTTCTGGTTGTCATTATCTGGTTCTTTTACTGTCTATGGTTAAGGAATTAACTTGTGCCAATAAAGAGGTTTCTTCATCCATAAGATAATTGTCCACACTGTTAGAATTACTTGTTCTGTTTCCTCCTTCTGCTGTTTCAGCTGCACACAGTTAAAATACTGAATTACTCCTAAAATTAATGAATTATCTGTTGCTTCTTGACCTAAGCACTCCTGCAGCTGTCTCCTCAGCATCTCCTGTGTTGCCATCTGATTCAACACGTGCACAAGGAACATTGCAAAGGGAGCTGAGTCATTCTCTAAATCTGGATCGACGTCCTCCGAAAAACAAAACCTTCCTCTGCAGGACTTAAGGGCACGTATTAACTGTGTTAGTTTGCATAGGATGTTTTAGCTTCTCTTACTTTAAATTACTAGTGTGTCTAACCGAAAAGCACATAATTTAGCTGTATCCACCAAAATCTTTTTTATCATTTGTGTTGCATAGTGCCTAATACTTATTTATCTTCTTACTTCTGTGTTCTAGTTCCTTTTCTTTTATTAATTGTCATTTCAAAATAGACTTACATCTTCATTGGATTGATTTTAGTACACACATGTAATTTCTGTGGACTGTGCCTACTTTACTGTCATTCGGGAACCCTTGAGTCTCAAGGAACATAACCTCCTGTACAATCAAATTGTTATTCCAGTCATAACATTAAAAGATGTTCACTGTGAATATAAATCTGACTTCAGTCATGTGATATACCTAACATTTAAAAGGGCTGATGAATGAGGAAATGTATTAGACACCCTAAAAGTGAGGAAAAAGCAAGATCAACTGTTTATGTCTTATTATTTTCTTAGCATATAAGATATCATACTCATTCTTTGCATCTTTAAATGGAAGGACTTATGTCCATCTTGTCTCTGTGCATGCCAGAAATGTGTGCTCTGGTAGATTGAAACCACTCTAGCACTACTACAAGTGATCAATTCTAGGAATTTTTTCATCTTTATGTCCAAGTTGCTGGATTATTTACAGCTCTGAGTAAGATTTGCATCAAGACTTGTGAAGAGCTCTGTATATGAGTTATATTACATTGCTCAAAATAAAGTTTTTCAGTTGACTTCCTTCAATATAATTATTATTGTGTTTTAGGTATTTTCATGCTAGTGCTGTTTTTGTAAATGCCTTTATTAAATTTAGTAACTGCCTTTATTAAATTTGTAATATCCCAAAGTAATACTTTTTGCTTTAGGTTTATTTTCTTGATTTATGTGCTAGCATGTTTATCTTCTCCCTCTCTTTTGTCTAGTTCTTTTTTTTATTTAATACTGATTTTTTCCCTTTGTTTTACAGTAAGTCATGTGGCATTGACATCCCTAAGAAATTTAAAATTAACATGGAAGAAAATTAAACAGCATATCAATGGATGACATAGGCATGATGGTTTCCCCACGATGTCATTGCATGCTGATGAAGGGACAGCAATATGAAATATGAGATGCAGATGTGATCAAAATACTTCCTTGGTTTTGCAAGGAGTTGCACAAGGAGCCATTCCTTTTCTGCAAAAGGAAAGCTTGATTATTTATAACTGTGAAAACAAAAATGGAAAAATAACTGCCATATGTTTCCCATTTTCTTAATTTCCTTTCTATTCCATGAAATATAGATATTCCTATTAATTAAAAAAAGAAGGCAAAGTGTCACCTCTTGTCTCTGTTTTTCTTAAATCTAGAAATGTTTTTAAAACTTAATTTAAACAGTCAAATGGCTTGCCCTGTTTTTTTCATTTTTAGAATAAACTGAAGTGTTTCAGCTTTTGGTGTCTGTCCTGCTTGTTCACATGATTTCATTTTTCTATCAGGGTTCAGTTTTCCACAAACAGCAAGACCTTTTTCAATACTGAGGAACTGCAGTGGGTTCTGTTGTGTTTCTGTACTAAATTAAATTAATTCTATAACCTATTCAATACTCTAAAACATGAAAACAAGTATTTCTCAGCTTAAATCAGGTGCATTATGCCTTTAGGGTTTATATATTTTACACAGTGCTTTGCATATTAACTGAAGGGGGTTTGATTAGTTTTATTACTTTAATTTTTTTTATAAAAAGTCTTTTGCATTGTGTATTATCTCTTAGTAAAAAGTATAAAATCTTCTCTGATGACTTTCTGTTATGTTAGAGAAGATGCAACAAAGCCTTTAATTTCTTTTGTCTTACATTATAAACCAGGACAGTTAAGGGGAAAAAAAATCTTTCAGGAATGTGGTATCTGCTTGTAAATATAATACTGTCATTCATCATCAGAGATAACATACAGGGGTTATAGCTGTGCAAGCTATTTAAAAATCAAAAGCAGCACACTCAGAGTGTAGCCATGTTTGAAGGAGCAGTACATAAAAGTTACCCCTCAAGAACATATCGTTCTGAAGGGTAACCAAATATAATTATTTTATGTGGTGCCACATAATTGAGATGACTTGGAATTCCCCCTCTTGTAGCACTTCTGATCTATCTCTTAAGTTTGATAGGGTAAGGTTAAATTTCCTTCTGTCAGGGGTTGGGAAATACTTCTGGTGTTAAGAATAGCTGATTAAAGGTGGGTGGAATGTCTCCTCATGTACATATTAATTACCATAACACTCAGTGAATGGGTCTTTGCTGGCAGAATGACATACCTTGCTGCTGTATCAGTGAAAACTGAATTTCTTGTTGGTTAAAACTAGGTCCAATGAAATAAAAACATGGGAAATGAAGCAAGATTTTTTTCTTAAATATACATTTCTGTTCTAAACAAGTCAGTTTCTTTTTAGAGAGGATTTGAATTGAACATAGGACCATGATAATCTAGAGTTTATATCTGGAAAATTGAGTGCCTTTATCTTGTTTCAACTGAATTTGCATGATATTCCTGTTACCTGTGGATGTTAGCACACTGTCTTTGCTAGACATTTTGATATGGCTATTCAAATGCCATTTTGAGTGATTTTTCTGTAAGGCTATGATTATCAAGACCCAAAAGGAACATTAAATTACTGAGCTTGTTCTTCTACCAATTTGACTAAAAAATGACTAAAACAAAAATGTTTCTAAGCATTCACTGGCTGTCAGACAGCAATGCCTTTATATCCAGTAGCACTGTCTCCCATGGGATCAGAGCAGTTGCTGGACCTTGCCTCTGCCTAATTTCTTTATTGCAGTCTTTCTGAGTGACAGGGCACTGCCCACTGTAGCAGAACTCCCCTGAGACACCCTCCTTTGAACCTGAGGAGCCTACAGCATCCCAGATTCTTTATTTCTGAATATAAGTCTCCTTCTCATGAGTGTATCCCTTTAATGTCTGGCTTTCAGTACATCTGATTCTTCCTACTTTGAGTGTCCTACAGCCAGCAAGTTTTGATGAGCCCCAAAGAGGCACCTCTCTGTTTCTAAACTTATTAACACAGGATGATTTGCCTCTGTGTGACAATTCACTCTGGGCAGCACACCACTGTGCAGAGACTTGTGATCTCTCCAAGAACTGTTTTACAGAAGTGTGGGAATCCAAAGCTTCCCTCTGGCTGCCCTGGAAGGTCTGGGACCCTGGCAGGGGGTCAGGAACCCCCCTGGACAGAGCCCCCAGAGACACTGTCTGTGACCTCTGTCCATGGAAAAGAGTTTTCAATCTTACAGAATGAATTACAAGCTCTGAGTGTTTGATATAAGTCATAATTAAGTGCGGTACGGGTGCAAAAGTCAAATTTTAGGTTTCTAGATTAGGGGTCCAAAGGGGACAAGATGGAGGAAACTGGGTGTGTCTTGTCCTTTTCCTCCTTCTTCATGCCCTCCATGTTTCACTGCAGTGTTGGCATTTTTCTGTTGGTTTAGGCTGGGGACACACTGTTCAACGTAGGTGACAGATATTGGCACATTATTGTAAATATAGCACAGGTAGTTTCTGGTATTTAATGTTTGTAACATCCCACTGAGGGCAGAGCCCCACACGCTGCCCTGCAGGACAGAGCTGTGGCAGGGCAGCAGAACATGTCAGAGATAAACAGAATAAACAACCTTGAAACCAGCACAGACGAATCATGGCTTCTTCTTTGGCAGCGGGGCTGAAAGACAGAGACTTTCTACAATCTCAGAATCATCAATACCACAGATTCCGACACAGAAGAAAGCAAAAAGTTTCTCCTTCTGTAGCTTGGTGGAAAGTTTATCCACTCCAGTTCATGCCGGAAGCCATTCTGCCAGCAGTATGCCAAGCAGTACTGCCAAGAGCCACGGGTGCCCCGTTTGGCAACCGCAGTGATTTTCACTGCTGCTCTGGAGATGCAGCCACATGGCTGAATTTGCCCTGAGTTTGGACTGTATAACTTCAAATTGGAAAGCAAGGCAGTAAACGGGAGAAAGGCAAAGTAAATCATTCCTCAGTTAACAATTCCACCACTTCTTTTTTCATAACTCTTGATGTATTCTTGGAAATATTGCCAATCACAGTCTGAGTCCCTGCTTCCTTAATAAATTTCAAGTGAATTCACCATGAAAATACTAAGCAGATGAAGTGAGATATGTGTAACATTCCTGAAGCAGTTATTCCTCCAAGTTCTAGTCAAGTCAGAGGCACTTACCCTGCTAGTTAGCTTTCGCTCAACATAAGGAAGGATCAAATAACTCCTTTATAAGTTTTTAGAGAAACCTTAGCCTAGGTTTATTTTAACTGCTGCATCAGCTAAACATGATTGTTTGTAACAGGATGATTCTTAGTAGTATTATAGATGGCATAAATAATTTTTTGTAGGACCTGGCTTTTAGTCACCCCAGGCAGCCATCTTATGTTCCTCTCTTCTCAAAGAAACATCTGTGGGAGGAAGGGGGCCATCTGAGGCCTCAAGAGAGTTCTCAAAGCCCAGCTCACAGATAAGACAGTTTACTGTAATTCATTTCCTAATCTACTTCATACTGCTCCTACAGCATTATTCATTCTTCTTACCCTTAGGACTTATTTTTTTTTTTTCAGCCTGCCATACCAAAAGGCAAATCACAGACCTTATTTAATCCTGAAGAGCAGAGATGTTAATTGGGTTGAAAATGGTAATGATGCATCTAATTCTGTCTTATCTACACTGCTCATCCTGCTCTCAGGACACCTGAGTGCTCCTGCATCCCAGAACAGAGGCTTGAACACATATTTTTCTGTGTTACACCCAGCTTGTCCCTTGACTCATTATCAGTGGTACATTACCCAGTGACTCGAATATGAATCCCACAATATTTCCTCTTGTTCTATTTCCGAGTAAGAGCAGGTACATGTTCAAAACATTTTTGATGTATATTGCCTCAGCTAAAGCATAATTAGCTTCATGAAAAGGAAGCAGGTTAACCAGCCCCACCTTAGCTGAAACCACTGTCACCTTTACATTTCAGACCTTTATTTGGTTCTTCAGCTATTTCAATTACCAGTCAAGGAGGGGTTTAAGTCCTCAGCATAATAATACTTGCAATTACTAGTAAATAGCACTTCACAGCACTAACTAGTCTGTCCTTACTACATCCATTTCAGGCAGGCAAATACATGTTATTATCCTCATTTTACAAACACATTGATTAAGTGACTTACCTAAAGGCCACACATCAATTTCAATGTCAGCGCCAAGATTAGCACAGAGAAACTTCTGCATTGCAGACACAGAAAAAAGTGATAGGTATTATCAAGCCCACCCCCCTTCAGAAACAAACAATCATTTTTCAGCTGTATAGTCAAATAGCATTTACCCTCCTCACAAACCCATATGAGGTTTTGTCCACCTCAAGCTGCTCCCTGATGATGGCTCAGAATGGTTCCTAAATAGATCTTTAACATGGGAACCTTTTCTATCTGCCTCCTGCTTTTAACACAAGGGTTGGAAAGCACTGCATGGAGAACCTGTGAAACTCCCACAGGGGAAGGGAAGGGAAGGGAAGGGAAGGGAAGGGAAGGGAAGGGAAGGGGAAGGGGAAGGGGAAGGGGAAGGGGAAGGGGAAGGGGAAGGGGAAGGGGAAGGGGAAGGGGAAGGGGAAGGGGAAGGGGAAGGGGAAGGGGAAGGGGAAGGGGAAGGGGAAGGGGAAGGGGAAGGGGAAGGGGAAGGGGAAGGGGAAGGGGAAGGGGAAGGGGAAGGGGAAGGGGAAGGGGAAGGGGAAGGGGAAGGGGAGGGAAGGGAAGGGAAGGGGCCCATGCTGCTCTCCAAAAGGCAATGTGATGATGAGTAATGGTAAGAGGAAGCAGCAGGAGCAGGATTAGATAGAAATTAGGATGATCTTTTAGTCTCATTTTAAGAGATTTTTTTGCCTCACCTACAAAGCAAATTTTCAATATTAAGGCTGTGTACAACAGGTGCTATTCTCTTTTGTACTGCTGTTGCTTTTGGAAATTGTGGTAATTGCATTGGTAACTCTGGAAGCTGCGTCTTCAGCTCTAAAACACAGTAGCATCTCGAGTCCTCAGTCTGCTGAGCTATTGGGAAAACTGCTCTATTTTAAAGCCCCTTCTTTGGAATTTAGAAGGATTTGGATTTGATCTCTGCTGTCTGGCTTAGACAACAGACTGTGTCTGTTCCACACCCAACTAATGAGTACAGACCTTACTGCCTGCATGAAGCTATAACAAGGAATATCACAACATGCAAAAATCTGTTAAACATTACTAAGTGTCTAAATGTAAAAACCTGCTCTCCTTACAGGCAGTTATTTCTAAGGAAAACTATATGGTGGGCCTATTTTCCTACCTGGAAAAACAAACAAAACAGGGAAACACACAGGACAGCACTTTTAACAGCTAATTAAGGCTGTCTGTGTCTAAAGGTGGCAACCTTTTGTTGTGATTTAGGTACAGGTCACAAGATCTTCTTGAATCAGCTTCTAAACATGACAAAAAAATGAAATGAACAGTAAATCTTTTGAACCACAGTAGTGATTTCCTCAGCAGATTCACAGAGCTAACATTTGAGCCCACAGTGTCATCTGCCAACACCTGAATTTGACCCAGTCATTGAAGCTGATCCTGTGACGTCTGAAAGCTGATACATTGAAAAACTGTTGAGCATTTATGATAGATACTGGTATTTCAGAGCAGACTCCCAGGCAATGAATTATATTCTTAATAAGCAGACATGACAAAGTCAAATTTAGAAGTAGAATTTGAACTAGTTGCCAAGTTTTTAACTGAAGGGCATTTCTTCCTTTTATTTTTTGATTTTTAAACCATGTGCATGTAGACACAAGAAATGTGTGAACTTACCTTCAAAATACCTCAAATATTAACCATATGAATTATACATATGCCTTTTTCTGAATTTTAGAAGATTATTTCTTGCATAAAACTAACATAATTCAATTTATTGCTTGAGAGTCACCTGTGGATTGGAGTATCAGAATTATTCAATAGGTTTATGCCTGTCAGAATTTTATATTACCTCCATTATTCACTAACAGTAAAAAAAAAGCATCATTTTAAATGAATGCTTAAACATGGGTGTTTTCTTGTCACTTCATTGGCTTGTCTTCTGTGCAATTCTAGTCCTTACTCTTCCACCTCAGAATTATTAAGGTGCCATATGCACAAATGATAAGTTTAGCTGCATCATCTGATAGAGGGTTAATCCTGCATAGGGAAAAAGCAAAACATGTCTGGATGGCCAAAGATGTGATTATGTGTACTGAAGTCTGATAAATATTGTATCATGCCACAGTTTAAGATGCTCAAGGGCTTCACAACGTTAATTACATTTTAATCATGGCAACTCTGTTCAATTAAGTACTTTGGCTTCTTCAAAAATAAAGCACTTCAGTCTTTGAAAAGATATTATGGTACATCTCGCCTGCAGGGCTGCTGCCCTATTTTCTTCAGGGGTGGTTCTGGGTGCTGAGAAATGCAAACCTAAGCCTTTTGCACTGGGAGAAAAACAGCATAACTGAAAATACAATCAAGACTATAACAAGAGGAAATAAAATAGCAAACAGTAAAATAACAGAAGAGAGAAGTCTCTTGAAAATGGGCATTCTCTTCAGCTTGAATGTTCTGCACAGCCAGCAGCACTAAGTGCTTCCTGAAGTGCATTCCTGAAGTGGGAACCTCACTGGAAGTTGATCCTTAGCTAATACCATGAACATGACTGTTGAAAAGCAAGTTTTCTTTATAGTTCTTTCTAAGCATCTTTCAAACTCTGTTCTACCTCCTTGCTAAAAGAAATTAATGATTTGACTAGGCACTTCAAATTCAATCTACCAAAGCACTTAGAGGCATACCTCTTCTGAGGTATTCTGAGGCATATGTCTTCTGAAACTTTTAGCACTTTCATTGCCTTTGGTGAAATTTCTCATATTATTTAGTCTCAGGCACAACTTTAGCCATTTTTTCTTTCTTTGCATTTATTTCTGTGGTATAGTTTTTTTGCCTCTCCAGTGGGTTGATGATACTTCAGCATTTTATTATGTTTTTTGGCTCAGTTTTCTTACTCATAGGTTCACAGATAACTTGTATCTTTCAGTCACTTCCAGAAGTCCATTCATTATTTTAATAAATACCTCAAGACAGAGATAAAATTAATTACTCAGCTGTGCTTTGAAAAGAAAAAATTATTTTCAGAAAAGAAAAAGAAAAATCAAAATTATCTGGTGAACATAAAGTCTGGGGCAGAAAGCCTTATTTTCACTTTAAGGAGCCCCTGCAAACAAAATAATTGTGTTTGACCAGAAGCACAACTTGTGCAGGAATTGTTAGTGAAATTCTCTTTGCTCCTCATGTGTGAGAAGTCAGGCCTAGCTGATCAAAACACTCCCTGGTGGCCTTAAAATCTCTGATGAATTTTGAAGCATCAGATCAATGATGTGTTATCTTTGTTTCAAAAGAACAATCCTCTGTGATCATTACTGCTGTGCTAGCTGATCATTTTAAATTAACATAACACAAAACAATTTCACAAAATCAATTCATATTCTTCTCTCCAGAGTTCTAATTTTAAATATGGGGAAAGTGGAGTCAGAAAATGGGTCTGTGCAGGAATATGTTGCATTACATTTCCCAGCCAACAGCTCTGTTGTGGGTTGACCATGCCTGGAGGCCAGGACACTCCTACACACTAAAGTCACTCCTCACCTGGACAGGGGAAAGAACATATAACTAAAGGTTGATGGATTGGGATAAGGACAGGGAAAAATCACAAATTGATTACTGTCATGGGCAAAACAGACTCGACTTGGGGAAATGGGTCTGATTTATTGCAAATCAAAGCAAAGTAGGATAATGAGAAATAAAACCTAAATCTTAAAACATGTTCCACACACCCCTTCCTTGTTTCCAGGCTCACCTTCACTCCCAAGTTTCTCAACCTCCTCTGCTCCAGCAGTGCAGGGGGGCAAGAAATGGGAGTCTTAAATCAGTTTATATCATCTCTGCCATACCTTCCTCCTCAGAGGGAGGAATCCTCACACTCCCTGTTCCAGCGTGGCGTCCCTTCCATTGGAGACAGTCCTCCATAGTCTTCTCCAATGTGAGTCCTTTCCATGGGCTGCAGTTCTTCACAAACTGTTCCAGTGTGGGTCCTTCCCATGGGCTACAGTCCTTCAGGAACCTGCTGCCCCAACATGAGACCCCTGTAGAGCCACGAGTCCTGCCAAAAAACCAACTCCAGCATGGGCTTCTCTCTCCGCAGCATCACAGGTCCCTGACAGGAGCTTGCTCCAGTTTGGGCCTCCCATGGAGCTTACAGCTTCCTCCTGCTCCAGAGTGGATCCTCCATGGGCTGTGGGTGGATCTCTGCTCCCCTGTACCCACCTGGGCTGCAGGGCCACAGCAGCCTCACCTCGGGCTCAGCAGGGGCTGCAGGGGGATCTCAGCTCCAGTGCCTGGAGCAGCTCCTGCCCCTCCTTCCTCACTGAGCTCGGTGCTTACAGAGTTGCTCCTCTCACATATTCTCTCTCCTCTCTAGCTGTTGCTGTACACATTTTGTCCCCCTTCTTAAATATGTTATCCCCAAGGCACAATCACTGTCACTGGTCAGTGGTGGGTCCGTCCTGGAGCCACCTGGAATTGGCTCTGCTGGACACGGAGGAAGCTTCCAGCAGCTTCTCACAGCAGCCACCCCTGTAGCCCTCCCTGCTATCAGAACCTGGCCAACCCAATGCACCCTCCATTATCTCGTGGTGCTTTTCAAATAAATGATTTCATGTAACTTACAACTGCAGAAGAGATTTGAAGGTTATTGCCTTCCATTCATTTCCAAGTAGATTGGATACTAAAAATAAAAAGTAATGACTCAGAGCTTACCTTTCCTGAATCTGGAGCTGAAATGGTAAATATTTAATGACAGAAACTCTTTCCCAAAGTTTTGTTCTTCTTTGTCCTTCCCTGTAATAAAAAGCAGAATTAATTTCTGAGCACATAGCTGTCCAGGTACCACAGTCATGGATTATCATGTTCCCATAGTATAGATACACAATCCCCATCCTGCAAAAACCTGTGGGGATAAAAATAGCCCCAGTAAAGACAGGGAGAAAATAATCAAAGAGCTACTGTTCACTGTGGAAAAAAATCACCCAGATATACAACCTTTTCTTTTCCTTTCATGCAATGCAATGGCTAAAGGACCTGAAAAAGCCTGTTACCATATACTTTACTGTCTTGATATCACTGGAACATCTACAAACAAAATATATGTATTATGCAGATTACAGTAGCTATTTTTAAAAATACATCTAACACATATATATGAAATTACCATTCATGTACTTGGGAGCAGAGGGCACAGTGCAGCATTTGTCCTGTAGCCTGCCTATCAAACAAGGAAAAAGACAAAGGCATAAGGCTGACAGTCCTTGTGCTTTCCTTGCAAGGTCTGAATAGCTGAATATAATTTGTTTCTAATTCTCATTGTTAAAAGACATTTACTTAGAAGAAAAACCTATTAGGAGGAAACAGATGATGCTTTGTGCATAACCAAGTGAACAAAGGAATCTTTTTACAAGGATCCATCATCTCAAGGAGACGCTGCAGCTCCTTTGGAAAATTTCTCTCAGAATAGCACAATATCTTTGGCTCAAGGTAAGAGATAAATAAGGGTGTGCCAGCAGGGAGAAGTGTGAATAGGGAGTACAAGGATAAAATTGCCGAGCTGGATATTTCAGCTCCCTCTCCAATCATCTTCCCACACTGTCAGATCCACACAGGCTTCTGCTCAGATCCTTGGTCTCTGAATGATTTCAAAGACACTTTTTTTTTTTTTTTTTGCCCTAAGATGGGAAAATAATATTTTGGAGGAAGTAGCTGGCATAGAAACAGCAAGTCTCCACAAATCTTTATTGATCCTAACAGCTCCCTGCCAAAAGCAAATGCACAAACCATAGGCACCACAAGTTGAAAGGAGTTCTAAAAACGAATTACACGTAGGAAATAACAGGGGAGTTCTCTGGGCCTCACCACTCCATGAGGAGATAACATCAGCTAGGTTGGGGATAATCTCAATTCAACAGCCCATGGGGCTCAGATTGCCTGTCCTGGTTCCTAGCTGGCCTTCCCATGGCAGGGAAAGGTGCACACAGCTCAGGAGTGGAGGCTGCCCTGCGTGTGTTAATCCAGCCTGCACAGCTCAGCAGAGTCATACAAACCAAACTGTACCCTGAAAATCCTCCACTCACACATAAACTGATTTTCCCTTTTGCTCCATCGCTACTGTAAGAAGATATTGCCATTGTCCTTTTGCTCTGCCAAGCAGAAGGAAGATTTTCCTGCTAGTAGCGTGAAGATAGAGATTCCTGCCTTTCAAGAAGCAGCTAACAGAGTGCATCACTAGTAAACAGACACCACACAGTGCACTAATGTGTGTACACAGCCACCATGGGACAGAGTGAAGCTGTCTGACTGCTGAAGGCATCCTGAAGGTCAGTGTGGTGTGAAACTCACTTTGGCCTCTGGTGTGACAACCAGAGCTAGGTAATGACCAGCTCCTGAAGCTGAATTGCCAGAGCAATCTACTTTAAAGGTATCTTAAAAACATCTGCACTCACCTGCAGGTCACATATCATATAGGTATGTTATGGATGATATCATGGCTATTCTTCAGATTTTGATTTTTTTCCTCCTCAAGTATACTACAACTGGAATTGTAATGATTTTCTGTGGTTCAGATGTGTTCTAAAAGGTAAGCTTACATCAAGAATTAGATTTTAGTTTAAGTTCTACAATAGATACAAAAAAACCCATGAAGTTCTCAAAGATATCTGGATTTCCTTAAAATCACAAATGATTGGATGTTTTTGAGATTATTTCTAGTTCAAATCTAGGGGTATTTCCTAGAAAATTCTTCTACCTGACAAATACATTTTCTCAATAACTAGGACTACAATTTTTCCTTACATTTGCTTTCCAAATTCTGTCAAGGTGAAACAAACATGAATGTTTATCTCTTCATAAAGAGATAAAATGTATTTTTTTTTCCTAACAAATCCATTTGCACCATGAGACTCAAGATGCTTTGGGAAGGCTGAGAGGATGAACGCTGCAATTTTTAATTAACTGGCTGGTTTACCAAGGCATGGTAGGAAAACAAGATGTTAACATGCTTTTCTTTTCTAACATGTATTTCTCTGCATTTGAGGAAGGGCAAGAGGAAGCTTGGAGAGTGTTAGAAAGACCCAAGAGGAGCAATCTTAATGGAACACTTATAGCTTAATTTTACCCATAAAGTGATGCTAGCCTAGGTTATGTCTGTTGGATCTGTATTCCTTGGCTAGGAATCTAACATCTAATTTCTTTAATCTCTCCCAAGGCAGAGTAATGATGTTACCAAACCCTTCCAAACCTTGTGAGCTACTCACAACAATATTGTTACTGTTATTACTTTTACTCTTCCTTACAAAAAATGGGTGATTTGGGAGTCCAGGCACGAAAGTCAAAGTGTCAGAGATACTCAGGGGTGCTGCTGTTTCCTTCTGTAGGCTCTATAGCCACTGCTTGAGCTGAAGAGAAGACTGTTTTTTGTATTCCCAGATGGAAAAATTTCAGTTGTGCTAATTAAATAGTGTGCATGGCTCCAGGCTACGTCAAGTCATATATCACTCACTGTCTATTGCTGATTGTTTTTATCGTTTAGCTGCTTGCAAATCTGTGTGCCCAAGACAGATGCAACACCTTTTGGAAGATCCTTTTGCAACACCAGTCATACTTACAACTTCATGGGAGTAATACTGAGCCTCAGTACATCCTTGGGCAAAATCAGAGCAAAATGTTGAAATTATTTTATGAAATTGTACAGCAGAAAGGACCCAATCTCTCCCAGCAGCCTCCCCCTTGCCTTTTCTCCTGGACCAACTTGAGGACAAGCTGGGTGGCTATGGGCTTGCTGAAGTGCATTTGTTTGCATTGTCTTGTCAGGAATTTAATTTCACAACATGACATGCTATCAACACAAGCATGTCATTGCAATTTAACATGCATTTCGTTGGCATATTCTACATCGCATTAAAGTCTCGTCTCCTTAGCCAATAGCATATGCTACTCATCAGTAGCAAAGCTCTTAAATGTAATGAAAAAGGTATAATTGCAATTGAGAAATGAACTGTTGACCAGCACCTTACAGATATCCCAATTCTACCACACCACTGAAAGCAACAATATTGCAAGAGCAAACCTCTAACATCATTGCCTTACAGGAAAAAAAGTATTGGGCTTAGAGATGCTCCTCAGTCATTCCAGTGTCATTACAGGATTCTCAGACCACCAGACAGGCTTGTGTCAATGCGTAGGGCAAAGATCAATTTTTAACTTTGTTTTTTTTTTTTTTTCAACTGAGAAGAAAGTTATACCATGCTGAACATCTCTGTTTTCAAAAACACGAGTTAAAGTTAAGATATTCTGAAAGCAGTTTGAGACAATTAAGTCACCTTTTAGACCTGTTGATAGGTTTTCCTTCTGCACTTTTATCGCTTTCAAGTGACAATAACAATTTTAGCTGTTCTGACAGTGGGTAAGCACAGAGATAGTTTTTAAAAATAGATACTTTTAAGGGACCAATATATTAGTCATTGGAAATTTATTTAGTCATTATAAATTATAACTAGTCATAAACCAAAAATGAAAGCGCTAGTGGTGATAGAGGTTAATCAGGTTCTGTCCTCAGACATGTGAAGATAATTATGACAAATTAATGTGAAAAGCAACTGGATTAGGTCACAAACCAAGTTTAGAGACAAGAGCAGAAAGACAGACTACTCAGAATGACTGCTGACAATGCAATTGTCTGTCACTTTGCTGTCAGGAGCACTCACCTGCCCCAGGAACTGGTTTGATCCTGTGCTGGCTACAGCCACCCAACCCAAAAGGCAAATCTTTGTCACTGTCAGTGGGAGTTACAATTAAACAAAGGCAACTTTTACCCCTTCAGTATTAAAAACAACTCCTTGAAACCATGTATCTTGACTACAGTGCACCACTAATTAAATCTAAATTAAATTTTACCAAGCAGATTGCCAGGGCCTAATTTTTCGACTGTGATAAATCCAGCTTCCTAATGCTGACTACATGTTCACTAAAGACAAAGATCCACTGAAGAACAAATAATTTTGACCTTTCTTGTTATGTTAGGTTACACCACAAGGATTGAGCTGGTAGCTTTCTTTGGATAGGCAGTATAATGTACATTTATATTTAGGCTGACATTTTAATTGTACATACTATAAATTATGTTTGGAGCTGAATCAGAGTCCTTAAGATTAAAAAATAGCCACATTCAAAATTAAACTTTTATATGTTTCTTTGGTGGCAGTTTCTTTTAAACACTTCATTTTCCTACATCTTCCTCTGTCAAAGCTCTATAAATGTGCTAATGGTTGCTTTATTAATGGTTGCCTTGGTCTCACTGAAGTTTTTTTTCTTTCTTGTTGTTAGTATAATCTATCTTTTTCATGCCTTCTGTCTGGAAAAAAATGTACAGAATTAGATGGACCTTTATAAAAGAGCACAACTTAATGTTAAGTTTTAATTAAGCAGTCTTTTTCATTCATTATTTTTTATCCTAAGAGGCCCTAAATCATAGCCTGTTTCTGGCTGAATATACATAGATTACTGCCTTATTTTATCTTTATATTTATCTATTCACTTTGAACGAACTTGGTTGAAGCTTAAAAAGTTTCTGAGGATCACATATAAATTATTTCTCATACGCTCCTTTTTTGTAAACACTGAATGAATAAAGTCATTTTTCCAGACAAACCCTGTAAAAACTGATTACCATTTCATTAATCATTGACAACAAATTAGTATTGTGAAGACAAAATGACTGCACTCTTATGAAAATACCACTTTCTGTGTAAAATTTGGAAGATAACGGATGATTTTACGTGCCTCAGTTTCTGAATGCCCAGCTTAAAGCTGAAAGGTGCAGAGCACCAGCTGGAAAACAAGGTTCTCTAGATGTAGTCAATGGATGGGTCTAATATCTGCAGTGTGGTGGTGAGGAGTGTGGTGGTGCTTGCAGTTCCTGCCACAATAAAAGGTCATTTCCCTGGCTTTGCTTATAATTAGCAGTCTTCCTTACAGTCTGCCTAAAGCATCTGCCTGTGCTTTGTTCAGGCTGTCAGCTAGTCTGAAATCTTTAAGCAATCTTGACTATTAATAATTAGTATTTATTCTGGATTTATTATATAAAATTATTAAGAAATTTCTATTCCAGATGTCTACACAAAGCTATTTCCTATGAATGATGCTCCCTGGGAAGAAAAAAAAAAAAAAAAAGAGTGAATTAATACTATGCATCTTTTATAAATAATAAGAAATTGATTCTTAAATAAAGATGCTTACATCTGCCTCTTGCTCCAGATGGTGCAATTTAGCTGCCTATGTTGGTTTTGGTTTTAAACAAATACTTAATCCACCAATTGTCATATCAAGAATTCTCCATTTCTCACAGCTGAAGCCTAAACTGCATTGCTGCTTTAATTCTCAGAACAGGGAGTTTCCTGTCTCATAGGTCAAAAGTACAAGGAAAAAAAATATTTTTAATATTTCAGTGCAGCAGCCACACTTGTAAAATTGCCTGGTACTGTACCCTCCTGTTACTAGCAAAAAATTCAAGCAGCAAACTTAATCTAAAACTCCCACAAGGTCCAACAGTATGTAGGCAGTAGGGCAGACCTGAAGCAACTTTTTTTTTTTCTCCTTTTCTTCCACATCATCTGATCACTGAGTTTACATTTCTGTTCCAGCCCCTGGGAGTGTCAGTTCCACCTTACAGCAAATCCTTCAATGTAGCAATGCTGTGTCCTTGCCCTAAAACCTGCCCAGGAGGAGGCAGTGAGCAGGAGCAGCTCTCTGCCAAGGACAGCCAGGTGCTGGATGCTGTTTTCCTGGGAGAACCACAGTGGAGTGGCACAGCTCCTCCTGGGGAAACCAGAAAAACCCCAGTGTGTATGGGATGTCCTGTAGGAATATAAAAAGCACAGTATGTATGGTTTGACAAGGTCCTAGCAAAGTTATGGCCCAGATCCACCAAATGAGGAGAGTTTGTAGACATCTTTGGATGAGATTCACCTAAGCAGAGATATCCCTCTGCTATGCCATGCTGTGGCAGCAATTTGTGCCTTGAAGCTTTGCTGCCAAATATCATATTTTGAAATGATACTAAATTCTAAAAAGTTGTAGAGTTATTCCACTTTAATTTTTTAGAATCATACTCTTACAATACCAAATTCTTAGACTGATTTAAAAGCTTACAGTTGATTTGAGAATTTCACAATAAAATCAATGTGTAGTTTGAGTGAACTCATTACTACCTAGATTAATAAAAGAGTAAGTGAATGCTTTTCCAATTATTATGTCTAAAAAGTGATTGAAAATCTCTGGTTTAAGAAGCCTGGGGGGAAAAAAATTACTACTGCATTCCACTAGTTAAATGAAAAACTTGAATCTACTTCACTAAATTTTACTCATGGAGTAATTTTGGAGCCATAAATAATTAGAAAGGTAAAATTTAAATGAAGATATTTTTTAGTTATTTCTTTGTGAGTTTCTTTACTATTGTTGACAGTTTGAGGTTTTTTGTAATTGGTTTCCATCTGATTTCTTCTTTTTTTTTAGTTAAGAAAAACACTTGGAATAACTTAAGCATGATTTGATTTACTTCTCATTTAGCTAAACTGATGTGTACTTTTGTTATGAACCTTTCTCCAAAGATAAAAATCTTTGTTCTCATTTGTCCAGGAGAAATTGTGAGGATAGTAGATACAGCTACATAATCTTGAGGGTGTGTGCTGAGTGTCCAGAATTTTTTACCCTAGTGGACATGTGATCTGATTTTAGCTGCAGCTACTGGCAAAGCTGTTTCAAACAGGAGCAGTCCCACGATCCCTAAAAATATGCAAATAAAAGCCATAACACTGTAGGCAGCCAGTGAGCAGGAGATTTGGGATCACATTTTAGACTTAGGTCAATTCTAAGTAATTTTTCTACAGCTAACACATCTAACCAAAACTACTGAAATGCCTTAAAGGAAATTCAGTAACTCCTTGGGCTGATTGTCAGATGAGAACCAGTCCTGTTAAGCAGCTCCCTGTTTAAATGAGTAGTGAAAGATGAGATACTTAAGGAAAATCTTCCTGACCACCTCATGGCTATGGGTATCATTTTTCCACCTTTTACAGGTGCTTTTAAAAACTGAGAACTAGCAGCTCTGTGGGTGTGAAATGGCAGGAAAGAGCACACCTTGTCAGCTCAGAGGCACCTGCCCACTGCACAGGAGCCCTCCTTGGAAAAGGGCCTGGGTCTGCCTAAGCACCAAGTCCCAGCTCACACTGGAGCTGCTGGCAGAATTCTTTGCTGCAGGCATCGTTTTAACTTCCTGACACTGACAGACACCTGTGCCTCTTTGCCTGGGATAATTAACTCAGAATGCCTAAAGTCGATAGCCTTTGCAAAACCAGCTTAAATTAAAATCGTTCTCTCCCCAGGCTTTTCATACAGCTTACAAAGAAATTCAGCCTGAGTGTTGCTGTCTCTCTGCGAGATTGAGTTGTCATATGCACAAAACAGAGCTACACTTAGCAATGCACTGCCCTGCTTGGCTCAGGATGTTCATGCAACATCAAGCTATCACCATTTTGTTGATCTACAGTTTCTATAGATTTGCTAAGCTATTGCTAAGCTGTCAGTTCTGACTGTTTCCTTTAACAATCAAAGATCTATGACTGAAAATTACAGGGTTTTTAACTCTCCATTTCCCAACAGACTCTGACAGTGGGGCCCCACCATTCTTTTTTCTGATGTACCTAAAGCATTTTTACAGTCAATGGATGATATCTGAAGATACTGTACAATACCAAAATCTTCCCAGGTACAAATAGCTAATTATAATGCAACTGAAGGTTGAATAAATTATTTACTGACCCTGGAGGTAATAAAGTGATAGCAAAAGGTGGGGGGTTCATTATCTGTATCATTACCACAGCTCATATGACTCCCATGTTAATGCCAGCAATTAGTTTGCTCAGATTGTCCATGAGAAATTTTCTGTATGAACCTAGCAAACTAAATTCTCATCACTTTGTTCCAGCTATCCAAGACAGACACATAAACACTGTGAATGACCATATATCTATTGATTATGAGCTTGGACAGACTTAACACCCACACAATAATAAGACATATCCAAATAAGCATTAGGGTCCAAGGCAGATCAAGCGTGCAGCAATTGTACCTATCAGCCTCATTAGCTAACCCTGACCATCCTTCATGCTTCACAGAAGTGCTTTCTGCATTTTAAAGTATCATTAATGGGGAAAAAACGTGTTTGGGATCTCAAATTATTGCTCCTGTGTAATGTTTTTCTAATATGTTTCTATGAGGATTGGAACTCATACATAATTTGGGTTGCCTTTCTAAGCCATCAGAATCACTCCTACACAGCACAATCCGGTATCAGGTGTGGCTCATGCAAAACAAAAAGTGCAACAGAGAAATGCCTGGAGAAGTAACAGCTTTATAACTTCCAAATACCTTTAGAAGTAGCAGTTTTATAACTTCCACTCGTTGTCTTTGTACAGCAGAGGATGACTTCCATTTAATCATGTTTCCATGAACTTCCCAACATTAGCATCCCTTACAAGATGAGAAAAAGATGAGTACTTTACTTTAATCCTTGTGTCTTGTTAACTGGGGAGTCAGCAGGAGCAGAGGGCATTATTCCATGAGTTCATGAGCCTCTTTGGTAGTGAAAATGGAAAATTATGTCATAATTTATGAAGAGACAGCAATCACTTTTCTTTTTTTAAATTCTAATTTTTGACACCTAGGTTTTCATCACGATTAAATAAGAAGTAAGCCTATAAATAAAATTATACAAAATATTGTGAGTGAGGTATATTCAAATACTTTGTTTTTTTTCTTTTAAGGATGTATTTATTAAAATGACAGAATCCTGCCATGTAGTACTCAGGATACTGTGCCCTGATATGTACAAAAGTAGCATACAGGGAGATTATTTTACTTTGTTGTTGTTATTTCTGTATGTATGTTATTTATAACACACATATATAAAACACATACATTCATGTATGCATGCACATGTACATATATATATATATATACATATATATATATATATATATATATATATATATATATATATATATATATACACACAGATATTTTTTTTCACCAGAGCAATAAATTGAGCATATCTGTGCCTTCCAGATCTCAGGTTACTGTTGTAGTTGCCAAGCTACAGATCACCAGAGTTCTCAACTTTCATTGTACCCATTCCAGCTCCTGCAAAACAATATACTGTAATGATGTGAAGGGGAACATTTTTCAACAAAATTTCAGCTACCTGTAGCAGAATTGCTCCTGTATCTTTCTACATGTTGCCATAAAATAAGAGAACCTAAATACAGTGGAAAGTGTTTTTCTGACACTACAAGGCTGCAAATAGGACCGTGCAGCATTTAAGAATGATGCACTAAACCAGAAGTCCTACTATTATTTTAGATATTATACATGAAAGTAACCCTCCTGGACTATCTCTGTTTGTAAAAATAAACCATTCTACTGCCTGCTTTCAACGTGTGATCCTGCCTTCATACCTATTTGAAGGCGTAATTTGGCAGGTTCTTTAAATTGAGATCCTGAGTGTCCATGCTTTATGAGTGCTCTCCTCAAGAGCCAGCTGCAAAAGGAAGAGGAGAGAGAAGCCTGTCAGTGAAAATAGAGTTATTGCTAAATCTGAGATACTCTGTGATATAAGTTACTGAAAAATGAAAACAATCTTGCAGAACATCATTGTGCAGGCCAAATGAGCCATGAGAGATTTGGTGGGTAGAATGAAAGGTAATACACCACTGTAATAACTCCAGCAGCTTAAGAACAACCTGTGAACTGAAAGTACACACCAGCTGCAGTAAACACAAAGTTTGAATGTCAGGAGAGGTCTAACCTGCAGTCCTTTGAAACAGAAGGTGTGCTTCATCCTCTAGTAAAATTTGATCTCCAATAGCAGACTTCAACTTTCAATACAGGACTGTTGCTGATGCTGAAAAAAAAACCCACTTTACATACATGCAGAAGTAAAAAAAACATCCCAGTTTTCCCCTTTTATTGCTGCTCAATATCTTGCACTATCAAAATCATCAGGTTGCTTTTTTCCTGAAAAAGATTCATTGCTGACTCATTATCTCTGCTTAATGTTTACCCCACATACACAGTAACAGAATTCAAATGTTCACTTAAATGGAAACAATAGTATGGATTTGTAATGCCAACATCACCCCTCAAAAAAGTTACGTTTGAAAAAGTTACTTGCAAAAAGAACAACTGAACATTACTTGTTGGACAGTAAGGTGATGTTCCCAGTCTGCTACTCTTACCCCAAGCATGGAAAAAAGTAAGAATAAAATATTTTCTAAAGCTCTGTTACAAATTAGGAGCTTCCAGACAGCTTAGAAGGTCTTGTTTGCAGGAACTCATCTCTCATAAAAGGCTTGTTGCAGCTCTAGGGAGGAGTAAAATAGCTACTGATGACATTCAAATCATGATCTGTCTTCTCAGTCATTAATTTTAAATATGATTCATACTCTATTATGCTGTGGAAACCAAAGAAATTATCCTTTATTGTGTCTAGCCATTTTTCATCACTATGTACTCATAATGACCAATTTTGCTCTTCCCTTCTGGTATGTGCTTGAAAATGTGCAAAAAATTAACCCAGATATTTACATTTGCCTTTAATTCAGCCTCATAAGGATCTTCCAATGTAAATACATATTTATACAATATAAAAGAATTATTAGCATTCAAAATCTATAAACAACATTAGCCTTTAAATTGCTAAATATTAGGGTTCATAAATTAGAAACAAGTCCAGGTCAAACCTCAGGGAACAGGCACTATTGAGCTTTTTCCTACTTAAACACAAATACATACAAAAATATACATTTGAATGACTGTCTAAATCTGTGTGCAGTTTAATAACCATTGAAGTTAATTCCAATAACTGATGGGTTTGTAATATTCATTCTCTGTTGCAATATCAATGGCATTTTGGTTCTCAGTTTGATTTGGTTATTTTTTGAAAAATAGAACATAGAAAGAGATTTTGGCTCACATTTTCAAAACTCCAACTGCAATTCCTTGTTTCAGCTACATGGCTTTGGATAAATCATTTACTCTGGGACTCAAAATCCCACATGTAAGTTGGAAGTTTTCGTTCTGCATTTCCATACAAAACAGAGATGCTGCATAAAGCTGAGGCACCATTTCCTGCATGTTTAATAGAGAGGGGGCATCCTCTGCATCCCCTACTTTCACCCCAGTCGAGGCAAAGTTCTTCCTCCAAAGCCTGCGTGAGACATCACTCTGCTGGAACTCCCATTGATCTTTATTTCCAGGGGCACAGTAGTGGAATACTATTTTATATATTTAATACTAGTGTGTCTCCCTCCTGCCCAGGTGCACATTCACTGAGGAGCTACAGCAGGGAAGCACAGAGTAACTCTCCATCACTGCAGAATTATTCCAATAAATGAGATAAGATCACTGAGCTAAGTCTCACAGCACACAGTCCAGTTTGATAAATATCTGATAGATTAGGATGGAGAACTAAATAATATTTATTAGCAAAAGATACTAAATAGCAACACAGCATCACAGAACATGCTGAGTTGGAAAGGACCCACAAGGATCATCGAGTCCAACTCCTGGCCCTGCTCAGAACCATCCCAAAGAGTCACAACTTGTGCCTGAGAGCTTTGTCCAAACATTTTTGAGCTCTGGTAGGCTTGGGGCTGTGACCACTGCTCTGGGAGCCTGTAAGCAGGGCATGGCATTCAGCAGCTGCAAAGACAATATCATTTTCATTCCTTTATGTCCAGCATAAGAGTTCATCAGAGGTTGCTGGTTTATAACAAAAAACAAACTAAAAAAAAAATCTCATTGCTCTTAAAATAATATTGATGATTGCAGGACATAATAAAGCTTATAATCTCCTAGATTTCTTTTTTTCCCCAGAGTAAGGAGAATAAGGAATTACCTCTACCAGTGAGAGATAGTAAATGATATTATGCAGCTCATACAGCTTGTCACATATGAAGCAAATCCCACACCTCCCACAAGTACGAGCTTCAAAGAGGAAAATTTCAGCTTAATCACTAAGATTCAATGTTAAATTAGGTTATTGATGGATTGCAAGTAAATATGAGATTTGAGGTGGGGAAGCCAGCACTGAAAAACCTGAAAATGCTTCAAGAAAAGAGGGATGTATTGAAGTGTGGGGTGTGTGTGACAAGGTGTTGGCAACAAGAGGTCTGCAGAGGTGACATCTGCGAGAGAGGTCCAGGAGCTGCCCTGTCCTGAACACAGCCAAATCCACAATGGATTTGCCACAGGACATCAACAAAACAGGTGTCACTGGTGGGAAAACATAGTTCAGGAAGGGGAGAAAATGCTGGTCAGGGAGAAAAGGGACCAAAACCAGTGTGAAAAACAGCCCTGTAAGCACCAAAGTGAGAGGAGGAGGAAGAGGAGCTGCTCCAGATGCTGAAGCAGCCTGTGGAGCAGAAAACCCCAGCACAGCCATGAAGGACCCTGTGGTGGAGCAGAGAGAGGTGACCTGGAGCAATTGTGACCTGAGAAACTGGATTTTTCCTGGAGGTTTATGCCCAGGGACTGGGGCCTGTGGGAAGGACCTGGGGAAAACTGTGAGGAGTAAGGTGTGGCAGAGAGGAGTGATTATGGAGGAGCCACCATTCCCCAATCCCCCAACCTTGGAAAATCTACATATATTCTCAGTGTGAAAAATACACAAATACAGCATTAATCCAAAGAATGACATCTATAGGATCAGGTAAGGGAGCTCATGAAAAAAGGCAGGAATTCTTAGAGTCATTATAAATGTAATTTAATTAGCCTTCTCTCTATTCAGCATTTTCAAAATGTATTTGGCAAGATCCCTCTTTGGCAATTAAGCGATTCTAAGACATTAATTGTTTCAAAGTTTCATTGCCAAGAGAAAGAGATAATAAAACATGACAAAGGAGATGTTCTTGAGAGAAAGATATTGGTGGAACTGTGGAAAAGGCAGGAGTTGCGACAATATGGCATTTGGCATAATTTTATAATTGCTGCTTTAAGTTCAAAATTACTCAATAAAGCAAGTTGTTTAATGATTCAGTTTAAATTTTGCCATTACTTCACAAATTATGGATTCTGTTGTTTAACCATTATACCATTTATTTTGAGAAATGGAAAACAAGCTACTGAAATAGCTTGAAATACTGAAATTTTGAAGCAAAACTAAGTTACAACTTCATTCCAAGAATGTTTCCATGCTATTGAGATTTTTCTCCTTGATTTTCCTCTGTGTACATATTTATTCCATCACAGATCTATTTAAATTCAATGCTGTAGCCTATCATTAAAGCTTAGGTAGGCTTAGGTAATTACAGTTCTTCTGAAAATAACTTTAGGAACAGAAGGCTACTGTATGAGGCTGCATGTTTGCTAGAAAATAAGAATAAGGAGCAAAGAATTAGTTTGAGATAGTCTGCAGTACCAAAGGCAGCATCCTGATAGCTGGAAGTGCATTAATGACTGTAAGAAGCAACCAGAAATACAGAGAAGGGAGAGCAGAAATGAACAACCAACATAACTTCAGCAAAGTTAAACAGACAATTCAACAGAAAAGCTGAGTTTTGTTCAGCTTCCTCTGCATTATTATAATTTACACTCATTTATATCAGAAGACAACTAATCCATACTGCATTATCCTAATGGAAATGCAAAGGCATCAAATATTGGCCACCTGATAAAGCAAAAGAAAGGTAAACTCATAAAATTTTCTGACAAGTGTTCTCATGAATTTACATAATGCAAGCCAGTCACAATGATTACTTACCATATAAAATTTTCACTTAGCCTTGCCACATTCCTCAGAATTTTGCTTAAAAAAATGCACGTTTGCAGAATTTTAAGGAAAATATCAAAGTTGTTGCTGAATTTTTCTTGAATAAATAATCCGGATCCTCACTTGAAATTGTTCCCATTTGTGGCATTCACATTCTCTGGACAGAGAGACATAATTCTGTCTC